AACATAAGAAAGACACGAGAAAAACCTCCAAACTGTTCTGATTTCCATTTCTCTATTACATTTAAGATGACCTGTCAAATTAAATAAGCTGCAAATGTTCTGGGGAGTTAAAAGAGGGCATGTTAGCAATGTTATGTATTTGGTTTCATGTGGAAGCAGCACGGGGTTTTTTTTGGGGGGGGGGGGGGGGGGGGGGGTTATGGTCTTCAAAAAACAGAAGTCACAGTGCTGCTATTTTTTGTGTGTTAGTGTTACATGTGCATTTTTTTTTATCATCTTTAGTTTAATACTCCCCAAATTTTTTGCTGCTGTTTTGCCAAATGTGCTTTTTTTCCTTACACAGTAATCTGAAAAAGCACCATAAATATATTTGATGGAGTCTTATCATAAGACTGTTCCCATTACTCCCACCGTAATGGGTAAATGCGCTCGCTGTTACCATCTGCAGTTGATAAAACATTTACCACCTGTTTTTGCAGAATCATCTGTTCAGTCTATAGAATATCCAGATGCTGTGGATAATATTTTTCTTTTTGGGGGGGGGCTGCTCATGTAGTACTGTCACCATTTCTATTTCATGACATTTACTTCGATAAACTTTTATCTAATTTTTTTATATACACTATTCGAAAATACATTTATATAATAAAATCTATATTTTAAAAAATAGTTCGAGATTGATTTCCTATAATATGGTAATTTCTGTTCTTTATGTGAAAGAATTCTAAACAAAAAAATGTCATATGGGGGATTTGTGTAGCAACACAGTGACATGTCACAAAAGAAAAAACAACAGTGGGTATCCACCACATGGCACTAGAGCAGCTTTAATGCTACAGGTCCTAAAACTCTACTTGAGAGCCATTCTTCCAAAAAATATTCCCTCATTTGGTGTTACAGTGGTGAGGAGGAGGAGATGAAATTTCTCTCAGATGGTCATTTTTACCCCTCAGCTGTAAAAGGCTGATGTCATTGGGCAAGCAGGCAGGTGACGTGGACACCCAAGTTTCTGAATGCAACAACTCAATAACCAGGTGAACGTAGGACTTTTAAACAGATTAAATCTTGGATAGGTTTGAATCCCAGTGACACTGACCTCAAATTCAGAGGTCATCTTTTTTGAAAATCATATGGGATTTTCAAATTTATACCACATGTGCATCTAATAGGAGGATGAGGGTGCCAGTATTTGTTTTAATACCCGATTCTCTTTATTTCAATAGTGGCAAAAAGTCAAGTAATTGGTACAATGATGTATTTATTTGAAGTGTGCCCTCTTTCTAAGAGAAGAAGTAGACCCAAACAAGGGCAGTAACAGTGTAACGGAGCCAACAGATGTTGTCATTGAATGGGTTCAGCACTGAGGCCTGTGTGGTTGTCTTGATCTATGAAACACATAGATAATAAATTGGACTGGGTTAAAACACCACTGCACTCTACAGAAAGCGCCAGAGTCTTCTCTATTTTCTGAGGCGGCTGAGGTCTTTCAACATCTGTCAGGACAATGCTCGGGATTTTCTGTGAGTCTGTTGTGGCCAGTGCCATCCTCTATGCTGTTGCATACTGGGGCAGCAGGTTGAGGGTCACAGATGCTAACAGACTCAATAAACTGATCCACAAGGCCAGTAATGTTTCCATGATGGAGCTGTATTCCCTTAAGCTGGTGTCAGAGAAGCGGATGTTGTCCAAGATAAGGACAACATCATGAGGACCTCCCACCCAGGCCATGATGTGCTGGGCAGTCACAAGAGCACGTTCAGTGAGAGAATGGGATTACCCCAATGCACCACTGCACGACAAATCATTCCTCCCTGTACAACCTGCACAGTACACACTGCAATAGTTACAACCTTTTACATATCCTCTACATTGAAAGTAACACGGTTTTACAATTTAGAGTAAAATGTCAGTCATCTATATTTTATCTGTGTAATATTCTGGATATTTATTATTGAGCTCTTTGTATATGTTACAGCTATTTCTTATATTTTGTAACATATTGCATTATTTAATTTAGTTCAGTCTGTTACTGTTCTTGTTGTCTTGGAGCAACACTAACCACATAATTTCCTTAGGGGTTAATACAGTATCCTGATTCTCAAATGCATTTGCTCTCCTTTTTCCACATCCACCACTGATCTCCCACATGTGAACTCCATCCATCCATCCATTCGCTTCCGCTTATCCTTTTCAGGGTCGCGGGGGGCACTGGAGCCTATCCCAGTTGTCATAGGGCGAGAGGCGGGGTACACCCTGGACAGGTCGCCAGTCTGTCGCAGGGCCAACACACAGGGACGGACAACCATTCGCACTCACATTCACTCGCACATTCACACCTAGTGGCAATTTGGATTATCCAATTAACCTATCCCCACAAGTTGCATGTCTTTGGACGGTGGGAGGAAGCCGGAGTACCCGGAGTGAACCCACGCAAACACGGGGAGAACATGCAAACTCCACACAGAAAGACCCCGGCCTGATGGTAGAATTGAACTCAGGACCTTCTTGCTGTGCGGCAACAGTGCTAACCACCGTGCCACCGTGCTGCCCCACATGTGAACTCATCTTTTGTAATGATGCGCTGCCAATCTACTAAAATCTATATTATTCTATTAATGATCCTGCATTAAGATGTAACTGAGGAAGAGCTACTCTTCCTCAGTTTTTCCTGACACTTTACACAGTGTGCCTGAGAATCACAATTTAAATGTGGTGATGTATCCCATATATCTAAATCCAGCTGCCTTACTCGCTATTACAACACAACACAACACAACTCACTGATGTCTTCACAGACATCTTCAACATATCACTCATCCAGGCTGTCGTCCCCACATGTTTTAAAGCCACCACAATCATTCCGGTTCCAAAAAAGTCATCTCCCTCCTGCTTTAATGACTACCGTCCTGTTGCACTTACTCCCATCCTGATGAAGTGCTTCGAACGACTAGTCATGCAACACATCAAGACTGTCCTGCCCCCCTCCCTGGATCCCTTCCAGTTTGCGTATCGGCCCAACCGCTCAACCGATGATGCCATCTCCACTGCACTCCACTCAGCACTCACACACCTGGACAAAAAAAGACTCATATGTTCGAATGCTGTTCATAGACTTCAGTTCAGCATTCAACACTATAATCCCCCAACAGCTCACTCAAAAACTGGTCCAGCTGGGGCTCAACACCTCACTGTGCAACTGGCTGTTGGATTTCCTCACCGGAAGACCTCAAACAGTACGGGTCGGCAGTAATACATCCAGCACCATCATTTTAAACACGGGGGCCCCGCAGGGATGTGTGCTGAGCCCCCTCCTCTTCACTCTGCTGACCCATGACTGCACTCCATCATACAGCTCCAACCTCTTCATCAAGTTTGCGGACGACACAACGGTGGTGGGTCTCATTAGCAACAGGGATGAGACCGACTACAGAAGTGAGGTGAGACGCCTGGCCACGTGGTGTGCTGACAACAATCTCTCTCTGAATGTGGAGAAGACAAAGGAGATTGTTGTGGACTTCAGGAGAATGCACACCCAACATGCTCCTCTGACCATTGACGGAGCGTCTGTGGAGAGAGTGAGCAGCACCAAGTTCTTGGGTGTGCACATCACAGAGGATCTCTCCTGGACGTACAACACCACAGCACTGGCCAAGAAATCACAGCAGCGTCTCTTCTTTCTCCGCAAACTAAGAAGAGCAGGAGCACCAGCCCCCATCATGCACACTTTCTACAGAGGCACCATCGAGAGCATCCTGTCGAGCTGCATCACTGTGTGGTTTGGAGCCTGCAATGCGTCCTGTCATAGAACCCTCCAACGCATAGTGAGAGCTGCAGAGAGGATCATTGGTGTCTCTCTCCCCTCCCTCCAGGACATTTACAGCACCCGTCTCACTAAAAAAGCCCTTTGCATAGCGGCTGATCCCATGCACCCAATGCAAAGCTTCTTCAAGCTGCTGCCGTCGGGGAGGAGACTGCGGAGTCTCCAGGCCAGGACCAGCAGGCTGAAGGACAGCTTCATCCATCAGGCTGTCAGGAAGCTTAACTCCCTCCCGATTCTGCCCCCTCTCCCCTCTCTCCTCCACGGTCTCACTGAACTCTGTCACACACACTCACACACACACACTCTCTGACTCACTCACTGGCCTGCACCAGTTACCAGTCACTTCGTGGACCATTGGACTGCCATTACCTCATAAGACTTTGTGTTACACTATCTCATACCGTACATTACCAAATCTCCATTTGCACTATTTGCCTATTTGCACTACTCTGGTTTGCACTCAATGTCATTTACCCTTATATTGTATATTGTATAGCTTTCTTGTTATATGTAAAATTGTATTATATTATTTAATTTTTTTTACTTTAAAATATTTTACTTGCATTTTTAATCACTCTTATATTTAAATGTTCATTTTCTATTTTATCTAGGGATTGAGTGTAACGAAGTTTCTATTCTCTGTATGTCCTGTACATGTGGCAGAATTGACAATAAAGTTGACTTTGACTTTGACAAGCGGGTTAAGCAATCTTTGACCCTCCTTCTAGACTACGTTATTGTAGATATTCCCTCTTGGCCTCTTTTACTTGTAACAGGCTCTGTGGAAGCATCTGCATTCACTGTGATTCTCCACTCTTCCCATTTAAGGTCTGTGCTTTAATCTTCCACTCTCCCATATATTTCCAGTGCTGTAGTTCATATAACACATATCTATCCCATGGCCGTGTTTCTAGCTCAGCACAGAAAGGTGCAGCCTGCTTCGTTGCTCAATAAGCGTGGGAATCGAGTTACAGCGCGCGCGCCCTGTGGGAAAAAAACAGAGCGAGTTGTGAAGGCGGTAGATCTCGCGATAAAACTACCCTTCCTTCATGCGTGTGTATTGTGAGAGTTTTTCCGTTCTCGCGCGACGCTGCAACTTTCCCACGCCTGTTGTTGTGGCGTCTGCCCTCTGCCCGTCGCCCCTCCCTCGCCCTCTTCTCACCCCCTTTTGCCCCGTCACTCTCCCCTCCCTCCCTCTTTCGTTCCCTTCTTTTCCTTCCAGTCTGCTTCTTCTTCTGTTGTGCCGTTGGCTTTGGTCAGGGAACTGGGGGAGGGATCTCGCGATTGTTGGGACTTTTTTTTTTTTTTTCCGGGGGGGGGAGAGTTATTCGGAAGATGGCGCCCGTTGTAACGGGGTAAGTGCAGAAATTTAAAGCTGTATGTTTTCAAAACCTGACTGTTTTTATTTGGGGAAGATATTGGCAGTTGGTACTACTTTTTTGGTGGGGGAGCGATGTTTTTCGGTGTTGTTAGTAGGCATATCACACATAATAGTACTACCTTGTGGCACGGTGCGGGCTCAGTTGTGCAAAACTATTCTTCGAAGTATCGCCTGCTTTCTATACAGTTTATTGAACTGCCCTATCAAGAAAGTTTCAAACAATTTCAGAAACTTTTTTTGCCAGTTTAAGTTTTTTATTTTGGCTTAATATTTTTTAAGAGTTGACTACATCAGCATAACACCCTCAGAGAAAACTGCAACTTTGTCAGATACTGAAGAAAGAAATAAAATTTGGCTTAGCTCATTAAAACAAACGATTCCCATTTTGTTCAAAGGCTTTCTTTCTTCAGCGTTTTTCCTAATTTTCTTCTAATCCAAAAAACGTTTAAAGAAAATCACATCGCCTCTATTAAATCTGTTTTCTTACATACTCTCCCTCAAGCTTATTTTACGTTTCTGCTGCACTAACCCCAGCACTAAAACCACGTGTAAAAGACTTTTCCCCTGATGTTTTTGTTTTGCAGGAAGTTTGGTGAGCGACCTCAGCCACAGCGATTAACAAGGTGGAGTGTGAGAAACACAGCCAGCTGTTCCCCGTGCAATCTTAGACTTTATAATCTAGGGGAAAAATGATCATGTCATTAAAAAGTGCTCTAAAAGGTTTAATGCGTTTCTCCACATTGCAGGGAAGCCATGAGGAACTACTTGAAGGACAAAGATGATCAAACGGTGCTCATTCTACACGCAAAAGTCGCACAAAAGTCATATGGCAATGAAAAAAGGTTTGTGTGGCACTGCTAAGTTTCATTGTGTTTAAAGAAAAATGTCTCACTTTACTTCTTCTTGTGCCACTTAGGTTTTTCTGTCCTCCACCGTGTGTATATCTGATGGGCACCGGATGGCAAAAGAAGTTGGAAAAAATGGAGAAGGAGGGCTGTACTGAGCAGGAGGCCCAGCCTTGTGCCTTCATTGGAATTGGCAACAGTGAGCAGGAGATGCAGCAGCTCAATCTGGAGGGCAAGGTGGGTAGTTATAATGGCACTACAGATTCAGTGATTTAGAGGCTAAACATCTGTGTCAGATAGTTGCCTTGTTGACTGCTATCAGGAGTTTGCTTTTTCTGAGATAAGATGACTTCCATCGATGGCAGTGCCTGATGTTTGTCTGATGTCTTATTAATTTTCCTGTGTGGGATCCAGTTACAATTTGTATGATTAAATTTGTGTTCAGTTTGTGATAAGAGGTTGACAGATGTTAAAATGGTTCTTTTAAGTGAAGATTTATTGTCTCCCTGACAACACTCTTCACGTTGGATCTTTAAGATAGAGAAGAAAGAGATGTTATCTCTTTAGATCAGCTTTTGATTATTTTCTCAGCCGATGAATAAGCAGGTCGCTTGCTTTTTCTCAGTGCTCCATAAGTGCTATGCTAAGCAAAGTAACAGAAGTAACCACAGGGGTCAGATATACAGATGCTTTGCTGTGCAATTTCCCCTGTTGGCTGCTGCAGAAACCATGAAAACCAGAAACCAACCTTATTAACCATGTTCACGCTGTAGCTGATATTACTGCACATCGGCATGTTTTCGCATTGCACAGATGCTGCTAATGAGCCTGTTCTCCAGTAGGAGATATGAGAGAAGCAAAAATAAAAGTCCCCTAACCTTTGTCTTCTCCCCGGGTAGCACTTCTGCACAGCTAAGACGCTGTATATCAGTGACTCAGATAAAAGGAAGCACTTCATGCTATCTGTAAAGATGTTGTATGGAAACAGTGCCAACATTGGAGTCTTCTTCAGCAAGAGGATCAAGGTCATCTCCAAGCCCTCCAAGAAGAAACAGTCCTTGAAAAATGCTGATTGTGAGTTGCTGGACACACATAAATCGAAGAGTGCTGAATGGTTTCACAACAGCTTGATGTTTAAGTTGGATTTGAAAAGGATTTTCTTTTTCCAGTTTCACTTTCTGTTTTTTATTCCCCTCCAGTATGTATAGCATCTGGGACAAAGGTGGCCTTGTTTAACCGCCTGCGTTCCCAGACGGTCAGTACCAGGTATCTCCATGTGGAGGGGGGAAACTTTCATGCCAGCTCTCAACAGTGGGGTGCCTTCTACATTCACCTCTGTGAGCTACACTTTTTTCTTTTATATCGTGTAAGATTTTAAATAAGAGACATTTAATCTTTTTTTAAATTGTTATTTTCTTTTATTTAGTGGACGATGATGAGTCTGAAGGGGAGGAGTTTGCTGTAAGAGATGGCTATATTCACTATGGCCAGACAGTCAAATTGGTTTGTTCTGTGACTGGCATGGCCCTGCCAAGACTGGTATGTGGCACTTTTTTATTTCTGTTGTCTGTTTGTGAGAAAATGAGCTGCTTGTAGTGGCGTCCAGGTGTCACTGTATCATACAAATGAGTGATTTCTATAAAAGAAAACACACAAAAAAGGGTATTCCCTGTAGCCTTGCCATAAATTACAAAATTAAATATAGAATCCAAAACTGTAAACAAATTTAATTTTGCTGGACAGCTGGCCAAATTCACATCGGAGTCTGTTGACTCACCTGTAGAGCAAAGCCTCAAGTGGCCAGTCAAGGAACTGCATTTCTATATTGGCAGAATAACAGTGGGGATTTGGGGGGAAAGAGAGCAAGGACCAGAGAGGTGATGATAAAATGAAGAATGATGCAAGTTTGACAGCGTGGGAAAGCAGAAATGACAAAGAGATTAATAATAGCAGTAAAAGCCCACACAGTCTAAATCAAGGTTTCCTAACATAGTCTGACATTCATGTGTGTGCCCAGTAGGGCTGGGTATCGTCACTGATTTCTAGAATCGATTCGATTCCGATTCACAAGGTCCCGAATCAATTCGATTCGAATCAATTTAAATCTTGGAAATTTTGCCTCAGACAGTCAGAAATATTATAATTCAGATCAGTACATTTACATATTTTTGTATCTATAAAAAGGAAGCTGACACTCGCAAAACTTTATCAAAGGTGTAAGCAAAGTAGCTGAAGATAAAACACAGAAAAAACATGAAGGTGGTTTTCCTGGCCTGGGATTTTATAAAAATATTCTGCAGTACATCAAAAACGAAAGAAAACCATTAATCAACATATGAACATTACCTCTGAAGTTACAGGGGTTTTATCAGAGACACAGCTAAGTGTTTTGCATTTTGCATAATTTTAAAAAGTTTACATTTGTTCAGAAGCCTATTGAACAGCAGAAATGAGGATTTATTTTCGGTAGTAAGTAAAAGGGAAAAAAACAGCGGCCGACAGCGCTGTAAACAACGGTAGACTTGTGCGTAACAAGCAAGCGAATAATGCAGAAAACAGATTTTTAGACGGGAAACTGTTCTTGAAGTACAGAGAGAAAGTGAGAGAGAGCTGTGCATGAAGTGTGGTTGAAGCAAAACAGCAAAAGTCAGAGGGAATTCATGACGTTTTTTTTATTTTTTTTATTGAAGCGTAACTCTTTTGCTGCTGGTTCGGTCAATAATGTTTGGAGAGAGATAAAACTAACAGCTTTAGAATCAGCGCAAAAAGGGCGTAAATACAAAGCGCGGACCCGCCGAAACATCGGTATCAGCGAGCTGTCGGCTTTCAGCCCCGACCGTGTCCGTGCCGTCGGGTGAGAAGGCGACATCTCACTGATTCTGGTCCGTCGGCGGGTCCGAGCTTTGTGTTTACATCTTTGTGCAGAATCTGTGTGCCTGCTCTCATTTACTGTTTTAGCTGTTTGGTGGTTCTTGAAATTTTGTGAGGTTTAACCTGAGATTCTGGCATTTCGGGCAAAATAAATTAATATTAAAAAAATCGATTCAAGATTTTAATGAATCGATATCACGTTATCCAAGCCAGAATCGATTTTAATCGATAAATCGATTATCAAAACCCACCCCTAGTGACCAGTACTTACAATAAGTGTGTTATGATCCCCAGATCATTCGAAAAGTGGACAAGCAAGCAGCTTTAATGGATGCTGATGACCCGGTGTCCCAGCTTCACAAGTGTGCCTTTTACCTGAAAGATACAGACAGGATGTATCTCTGTCTATCACAGGAGAGGATCATCCAGTTCCAGGTGTGCAAAGTCTGACACACATAGACATGTATATATTCAATTATTTCAACTTTGTTTTTGTGAAATCAAGTTATATTAGAATTTTTTTGTGATGAGCAGGTATCAAAACAGTAATAAATTGCTGCTGTTGCTAAGGAGAGGAAATCTGCCAGTAGTGCCGTTTGGAGTATTTTCTTGTTGAAGGGTGACTATGGACTGACTCAAAATCCAGACTGATCCAGAATTAAACAGGTTTGAAGTATGTCTAAAGCAGAAGTAAACATATTTTTTGAGTTTGTATCACTAAAGAAAAATGCAATAACCACATGAATTATTCAGCTGGTAAATGCAGCTAGTAAATCTGAATTATTAAAAAAAAGAGAGAAGTGCACAAAATTAGGTCTTGATATTAAAATTAGGATTGGAAATCAAGAAGAAATAATCAGCATTCTGTGCTCTGAAATGTTTAAGGCATATCTGTAGTGCTGACTTGCAAGCTCTCATGTCAGCTCCACTGGAGTGTGGTGTGCTACTTACATTAACATAAAATCGCAATTTATACATAATAATTTTATTGGTGTTCTTAAGGAACAGTTACTATGGGCTGAATTGCCAACTGCAGTCTGTATTCTGTGACTAGTAGTGCTGATGTCAATGGGTCAGGATGATTCATTCCTCAGAGAAAGTTAGTCATGTGTCCTAGCCTATTTCAATAAATATAGTTTTCTGGTGTAAAATGATAACTGCAAAGGTTGATGTTGGTGTTGGTCATCAGGTCTTTGTCAGTGTGGATCTCCTTAAAACAAACCCCTTCTTTAGTTCTTCATTCTTAGGAAGTTTAAAAAAGTAGGCTGAACTATTTTGCAATTTCTGCAATCCAAGGAAGAGCAGCTGCAGTAAAGGTTTTGAAAGCTGAAGGTGTAGCAACTTCATATACAGGAAGACTACTGATACTTATCCCCTGTAGCATTTATAAGTCTTAGGTTTGGGGCAGGATTCATGCTAAGGCTTGGTGAGTATGTTGCTGCGATTCTGACTCTAAAAATTGATTAAATAATAGAAACAAGCGACTTGTTTTTGTTGTTATTATTATTTTTTTATTATTTCTAACAGTATAATGACTTAAGAAAACATTTGTGGTTTTGCTTTTCACAGACTTTTTGGAGCATTTCACTACCTGTAAATATTTGGGTTGTGAAATGCAGCCAATAGAATAGTCAGTAAAATGTTTTATGAGCTGAGTAACATCTTTTTAGTACTTAAGAGAAAGTCCTAACTGTTTTACCAACTCCTCTCCAAGCCCTTTGGTTTTTTGGTAATGTCGCTACATAAAGAAGAGTTGTATCATACTGTATGAAGGCATCAGGAAAAGCACAACCTATGACCGCATTTTAGAATGTAATGTTGAACTTACATTACCTTTTTGACCAGGACCGTGAATACCAAATGTTGTCAAACATTTTGACAAATGTTTTAATGACTGTGTGAATAATATTTAACTGCCACGTTTTCCTTCATATATTTTGTATACAGCAGGTAAAATGAGAACTGAACACGTCATCAGTTTTCAAAGTAAATATATTTCTAAAAGTGCTGTTGACATGATATTTTCACCAGATGTTGGTAACAACCCATCCAGTCTGACACATGCGGACAAATCAAACCATAGATGACCTGCTGTGTGTTATATGTGGCTGTTCCTACTTTTTTTTTTTAATGTATCTATATACTACTGCAAATAATCAGTATATAGTTCAGTTAAAAATATAGGTAATTATTACTGAAGGTTTTTTTTCTTTACAGATAAGAGTTTGACATTTTTATTTTCTTATCCAGAGAAATTGTAATTTAAAAATAAAAACTATGTATGATTTTATTTGGCATGGGGCTACCTAAGAGTTTGTTATTAGAAACATTTTGGTTTTAGTTTTTTTTGGTTTTGTTTTTCTTGCAAAGACAGATTTGGTCGTATAAATATAAACAGTGTTGGTGTGTTTGAAACAAACCAATAATTAGAAGAATCTGTTTGTCACAGATAAATATTAATAGAGCTGTTTTAGAGCAGTACTTACAGCAGCCATTTGTATGATTTGAGCACCAGTTTCTAGAGTTAAACATAACAGTCCGAGCCTCTATCAGCCACCATGATGGTGCCTGGTTGGACATAACTGTACGGAATTAAAATTAATTGTGTTTCTTTTGTTTTGTTTTGTTTTTCAGGCTACACCGTGCTCCAAAGAGACCAACAAGGACATGATTAATGATGGTGCTTCATGGACTATCATTAGTACTGACAAAGCAGAGTACACCTTTTATGAGGGCATGGGCCCCGTGCCCACACCAGTAACACCTGTCCCTGTGGTTGAAAGCCTGCAGGTACACATACAGCCTTTTCCGGGGAAGATATGCTCTAGTTACCAGCAAACACGAGTGACACTCTTGATACCCAAGTATACGTCTCTTTTGTTTTTATTCAACTACTATGAATCTTCTAAGACTTGATTGATTTTATGTTTGTCTCTGTCCAGTTAAATGGTGGAGGAGATGTTGCTATGTTGGAGCTGACAGGACAGAACTTCACCCCTAACCTCAGAGTTTGGTTTGGAGATGTGGAGGCAGACACCATGTACAGGTAAATATGTCTGCGAGTGTTAACTTTGTTCCCGTGTGTTTTCATTTCATTTTTTTTTAAGCCTTGTCCCATCCGCTTACTTCCTTAGATGTGGGGAGAGCATCCTTTGCGTGGTGCCAGACATCTCTGCCTTTAGGGAGGGTTGGCGCTGGGTGAGACAGCCAGTTCAGGTCCCTGTCACGCTGGTTCGCAGTGATGGAATCATCTACGCCACTGCCTTGACCTTCACGTATACCCCCGAACCAGGGCCAAGACCTCACTGCAGTGCTGCTGGAGCTATTCTGCGGTCACACAGCACCTCTTCATCATCACCCGCATCTTCATCCTCACCTTCATCTTTGATGGGTGTGCTTGGGGATGGCCACGGAGCCTACAGCAGTAGTGACTCTGGCATGTCGTCTGGGACTTCAGCTATGTCGGTGCTGTCATAGTAAAACGTGTTTTGTGATTGTGCTCTCAGTGACTGAGTGAGAAAATGTGAGCATGTTCTCCAAAGAGGCTCATGGACCTGTGAAGAATTGCACAGAAGCTAAGAAGTTCTTTGTTAGAGGAACTGTGAAACTATGAGGAGGAAAAAAAGACAACTTCAGAAGCAAGAGTTGTGATTTCTGATTGTACTGTATCACCCTCTTGTGGATTGATGTGGACATATCATAAGCTCCACTCAGAGTAACGTGATATCTATGCTCTTCATCTAAAAGAAGGTGAACTATCTAACTCCCATAGCAACATCATTTGTAAAATAACCTTTTTGTTTTGTTTTTATATACTTGGCAGGTTTGGAAGCTACTTTAACTGCTTTCTTACTACCAGCATTATGTTTGCAGATGAACACAAACTTGTAATTGCATTGAGCAAGGGAAAATTTGTAAGAATAACATAGTTTTATGGACCAAGGAATATTATTATATTATTTTATTCATATTGTATTTTATAAGTTTTTTCTGAGGTACATTTTTGTATGATACACTGCATAGTAAGATCAGTTTGTTACCAAGATAGTTTTTCATATTGTTGCCTCCCATTCCTGTTTTCTCTCAGTTGAGTCAAGATGAAAATTGCTTTTCATGTGTGTAATAGTCAGACAACAGCTTCTCACCTTTTTCTTTTCTTTTTTTTTAAAGCTTACTTGCTGTCGTTAACAGTTGAGTGTGTTGCAATGAAAAAGAGTCAGTCAGTCTTTGGAAGCACTTTAGAAAATGAAGATATCTCTGCCTGCTTGCAGTTATTGGCTTGGCTGTTTTATGTTTTCCAGGCCACTGAACAGTTTTGGTTTCTCTTTTATATCAAAGATGAAATTTTTAATGAATGTAGAGTGTGTGAGTGTGTGTGTGTGTGTGAGGGAGAGAGGGAGAGAGGGAGAGAGAGAGGGAGAGAGAGGGAGAGAGAGGGAGAGAGGGAGAGAGAGGGAGGGGCAGGCCTGTAATACACTGTCAGAGTGTTCTCTCTTTAATGATTTTGCTCTTTTTGTACTCTCTGTACTGGGTCTCAAATCTAAACAAGCAGTTCCTCCTGTTACCATAGCAATGCATACAGCAGCAGTCATTTTTTTCTCCCACATATAAGTGAAGCCTTTTATAAAAAGTGTCTTATCGCTTGCATATTTTCAGAGAAAGTCAAGAAGCAAAGGAGGAATGTCAAAAATGTCTTGCTTTCTTGAAGAGCTGATCTTTAGTTTGAGCTGAGATTTAAAGGGTTTTAAAGTGAGCTCATGTACTGGGGGAAAGAAATACTATCTCTTCCCAGTAAACCAATTTATCATTAGTGTCATACTGATGCTGACCTTTTGTTGAATTTAGTTTTTTCAAACAATGCCTGAACAAAAGTTCAGCAGAGCTAATAGTCATCTTTGGCTGCCCTTTGGGTCATTAAGTGATGAGGTTGATAGGTTTGTAGCTTGAACCTATTCGCTGGAACGTTGAAGACAATATAATTACACAGCAAGCAAGACACGAAGTAGGCAAAGTTCTTGTTACTCATGCATGAGGGAGACCTGCCTGGAGCCAAGTGTCGTTCCACCACTTGACTTCCGTCAGACTCTCAGCCAGGTTCCCCATAGCACTCCTTTTATTGTGATTACATGAATATGCATAGGGTCATTAACATATAACATCTTACATAGGTATACATGTGAACAAAGAATACTGTGTGTGTGTGGGGGGGGGTCAGAGTGTGACCCCATAAACGACTTCCCAGAGGTACAGGATAAAAGTTTGAACAATCATACCAAGGTGGTAACATCCTAGTCCTACAGGATCTGACTTGCTTAATTTTGTACAAGCTGACAAGATATTATTGCATTATGCTGTTATGCTGTATAAGTTGTAAATGCGTTTTCATGGCAATAATAACTAGTTTAGTACCAGTTATACCAAGAATAAGAGATAAGAAGAGTGAGACGATGAAGAGAAGGGTACGGGTAGGAGAAGAATTCCCAGTGTGAATTATTTGTTTCAAGCCCTGCATGAACAGTCTTGAGTCAAACCTTCCTGAGACTGTTCTATGTGGGCTTTCCTTGTTCTGTCTGTATATGCATGATTCTTTTTTTACTTGGTGCTCTGTTTCAAAGACATGTTAGCTTAAATTGAATTATTACTTATTTCAAAATAGCTGTTGATGTGACAAAAGGTGCTTCTAGTAAAGGGTTAGACTGTAAAAACAAAGTGTAAATGTCCCTTCTGTGACCATCCTCTAAGCATACAACAACTGGACTCATCCGGTATGTAAAATAGGTGAATCATCTCTTAATTTCTTCCTTTCTTTCTTTTTCCTTTTCTTTTTTTTAAACACTAATGATGAAATTAGAAGCTCCAACTTTAATTGCCCTAAAAAACTGATGTCTTTGATCCTTCTCTTGGTCTGCAGGAGCAGAGGTATTTAAGATATTTGGAAATATACCTACCTGATGAAATATTTAATTGTGAATTACTGCATCACCAAGTCACAATATCCTGACTCAATTTTCCTCCAGTGTCCATGTCTTGGTGAATTGATAATATCAGTATCTGTGCATAATCTTGATGAATATGTATGCACTCTTTTCCTGTTTCTGTCCATCATGTAACCAAACATGCTGTATACTCACTTCCTGCTGGGGCCTGCTTAGACACTATCCACTGAAGCATGCTACCCGGGATAGAGGTCAAATCTGTCTGACTTATTTTTAAACTGGGAGCCGTATTGCTGGAATGAAACCTGACACTTTGTTGCTGTTAATGTTTGTGTGTTTGGTGTGTATGCCTGTGTATCCGTGTGGTCTGCTTTGGTCCATCTCTCTTTATGCTTCTAGCAATGCTTTTACTTTAACAAGAGTGTGCATCTGAGCATGTAATAAATGGCATAGCTACATATAGACATCATTAATGAACAGCTGTGCAAACATTGGCAAAACCCTTTCAAATAGCTTGAAGAATTCCAATCACAGATACGACTCCCTCGCCCAGACAGTCAGGCGATGATATCAGGACAGCCAATCATTAGCTGATCTCAGGAAATACTTCCAATAGTGAGATCTATGGGATTTAATTGATCCTCATCCAAACATTAAGGGTTACACTCGACAGTGTACAGTGTATTATAGCGGTTGTCCCTACCTTAACGAAAAGGAAACTAACTCTGACCCCCATTTGTATGGCTGGGAAATATGTTAGGAAAACTAATTAAGAGGCCCCCATGCTGCAAATGGAGTGAGGGGGTGGAGTTCTGAGGAAGAACATGACATCTCTGGGAAAGGGCTGCAGGGAGAGAGAGGCCAGGGAACCTTTTGTACGACTAGTTGGATTATAAAAATCAGAAAACAGATCAACCACCATTTAAACTGCTGTGCCTTTAAGTTGTAACTGGATTGTTTTAAAAAAAAAAAAAATTGTATCTCACCCAGGACCATTTATTCTGATGATTATATCACACTGAATATGGATTTATTATATCTGAATCAGATGTTTTGATGTTGTTTTTGTCTTTTTCCTGGAATATCATGCGCAAGTTTGAAAAACTTTGATTAATCCTTTTTGTGTTTGAATTACGCTTCGATTACAACTTTTTTATATATCATTTTTACCCACCTAAACTTTACGTTTCAATCTGCACACCAGTGCCACTGCCAGATCTCTCCAGTGAACATCAGCAGCCTATCACATCTCCCTTCTGGATGTACCCATAATAGCAACGCAGATCGCTTAACACTTTTTCGCAGACTGTCGCTGGTGCCTCCGAAACGGGGGTTTGGTTATGTATACGTTCTTTATTCGTTTTTTTTGAGAACTTTCTCAGCTTTGGACGACAACATTGCCATCCGTGTGAAATGTTCCCTCCGTCCCCGCTACTGCTCGTTTTCCCCGCTGCGCTCTTCTGGGCCGCACAAGTTGCCGGGGACCTCGAGGGTGTTACCATCCCCGGTGAGAGCGCAAGTTTCGACCCGGCGCGTATGTACTGAATGATGCATGGCGCCAACAAAAGAGAAAACACGAAAGAAATTAAAGCATGCCTAAGTATTTAAACTGGATCTTAAGTCTGCACTATCACTGTTGATGTTGCGTCGATTATAGCGGTAATAGTCGGCTGTTTGACACTTACACTTAAGGAAAGACTCATTTTTTAAAATTTAACCTGGAAATTTAACCATGATCATTTATTTGTTTGTTTATTTTAAAAGAAAACCATCAGGTTATTAGAGCATCTGTTAGTAGAATTCCGTTTTGGGGTGTTTGTGCAACCTGCACGTGCTGCCAAAAATATATTTAGGAAACAGGAACTTTTTGTTTGTTGTTTTTGTTTATCTGTTAAAAACAAACAAACAAACACGTGTCCATTAATCGGGCACAAACTTGTTGCTGGGGTTAATAATAGCGTTCTGACAATTTAATCTAAATATACACGTGCCACAATGTGCTCCACTCTCTCAGGATTCCAGCAGCTTCCGCTCACCTGTGGAAAGTTTTTATGTGGAGGTCCTACAGGGACATCGTTAAACCCACACAATCCCCTGCGCACAAACTCACAGTTGTGTTTCCCATCGCTACAGAGGACATTTACGTCGACCTACAGCTATTTCCTGGAATCCTTTTCTACTCGTTGCTGCCCCAACCTTAACCCTGGCAGTAATTAATTCATTTTAATTGTTGTCCCTAAATATAAGTGATTCCTAACAGCACCACACATCAATTCTCACACAAAGTGAGCAGTAAAGGCACAAACACTGTTTTAGGTCCCTTTGTTTACACCACCTTGTGAGGCAGAAGAAGCTCCATCATCGAAGCAGCTTCTCCTTATTCTGGAATTCAAGTTTCATCAGCAAACGAGGGATAATATCTTTGCTTTTATAAAATATGTCGTTACTGTAGATTCTCCTGCCTGTGGTGATGATAAGAAGAACAAAAACATATAGCCTGTAACTGTCATAGATTTCTGTTATGACAGCAGCAAGTGAAACATCGGCTTACCAAATGTTCTGCTATAACATTTTAAATGAGTTTTCCCTCCTACTTATCATGAAAAGAGCACATCACTTGTGTTGAGTAGGAGATGCCTACATCATTCAAACAGTTAATAATCTGAAATCATTTTACTCCTACTTTCTGCTGTTCTTCCTTACTTGAGAAACCTTCTGAAAACACACCCTGTGTTTATGTATCTGTGTATGTTTTAAGATAATCTTGCACAGGAAGAAAACATATGGCTCGTGTGGTTGTAACTGTCTAAAAATGCAAAAATTCCCAGAGGATTTGCTTCATATTAAAAAACACAACAAGAACCTTCAGAGATAAATGCCGATATTTTTGTAAGAAGATTAAGGGCAGGATGCAGCGAAATGGGAATCCTCTGTTTGTTTGTTTGTTTGTTTTTTCCATAGAAGTCTCTCTCCCTCTTGCTTTCTCCCCTCTCCCTCTCTTTACTCATGGATTATTTCTTCATTACATTTTTGGCACAGAGTGGTTAGCATCACTGGAGGTGGCTCGAGGTGGGCTCAGCTAGCAGACCTTTGACTCTCAGCCTCTTGCCCCTTGAAACACTCAGACTTGAGAGTCACTGAGACGAAAATGGGCTGTGACTCAGCAAACTGACAGATGACGGAAAGCTATGCGTCATCTTCTAATGCATCAGTGTACTTGTACTCAAGCCAGGAACTCACTGTACGATTTAAACCAAATTACAACGGTCGATTTGATTATAATGAGTCGTCATTATGATTCAGTGAAATGTATTTCCTGCACATTTTCTCATAGTGTGTTGCTTCATGGAGTGAAGGCTTGATCCTAAAACCTTATTTGTTTGCTAAAATTTGTGAAAGCTGTTTTAAGCCCATTTAACTCTAATAAATTCATTCAGAAAACTGGAACTTTAGACTTTGGGTAGTTTCCTAATGTCATAAAAAAGTACTAAAAGTACCAAAAAAGAATTTGAGTACAGTATTTATGAAATTATTTATATTAGAAACACCACATAACGATTAAATTCAATGCTTCTTGACATTGAATGCAGCCAGTGAAATAACCACCTCCGCAGTCTGTTTAACTAATAAGTAGATTTTAAAGGGAAACTGTTAACTCTCAGCTAATGTATTGTACTGACTGGGCACTTGGTTTAATTTCCATTTTGTCTTCCATTTTATTCTAATTTATCTGGGTTGAAATGGTGTTGCTTTTACTTTGGTTTTATTTTAATAGGTTGATAGGATTGTATTTTAAGTATATTGTTAGGAAAAAAGGGATACATACACAAAACAAAGCAAACATTAAGAGTGAAAAGGATGCAAGTAATGTACCTCCCTAGAATCAGACAGAGGACACTGAGATTTATTGTACTTTACTTCGGGACTCTTAACCATTTTTAAACAGAACAGTGTAATTCCCAGCGGATGAACATGCAATTTAGAATTGCTATTACATGGGATTTTTTTTTTTTTTGAGATATAGTGATAACTACCAAATGCACAAAGGAGACAGTAAGATATCCCAGGCTCTCCATGTTGATCTTGTGGACATTATAGATGATGCTATGTGAGCCAAAATAATGAAAAGCTCTTATAGATCAGCTTAAATAACGATGTAAAGTTGGCAAATTAAAGTTCTTTTGGAATAAACTGAGCAAAAATAATGAGATGTATTATTATTGCCTTTCCCACCCATGCAGACCCCTGCGCCGTAGTGTCTCCACCATGCATGAGCGAGGCTGATCGCTTCAGCTTGGAGGCCCTTCGGAGCATCCATCAGATGATGGATGATGACCAAGATGGGGGGATTGAGGTGGAAGAGAGTGTGGAGGTAGACACCTTGCTCTTCATGAAATATGTAACCCATTTTCTTATTTTATTTATTTATTGAATTATTTTACTTAATCCCTGTGCTTGTATGTTTTTGCATGATTGATGCACATAGTGTTTAGCAGTGCAACAACAGGTGTCATCACTGCTGCTAGAGTCAAATGCTCCTTCAAGGATAGCAGTATAACTTTGCCTTTGGCTCAGTGACAAAAATTGGTTTGCACAAATAGAAAACCGTTACACTGGTGACCTTTGTAGTCATTCGTAACAGTAAGCAGTGTGTCATGACAATTTTTTCCCCCCTGAGATTTCTTTGAATGGTAAACTACCTCAACGTTAATATGCTGCTATACTGTTTGTATGTGCGTCAGGTAATCAACCTAGACTTCTCTAATGCCTTTGCCTTCCAGAATGCAGCTCAGGGATACAGTATCCAGGGGCTCAGGTTGCAGTTACCATAGAGATGTCAGAGGAGGGGTCTGGGCTCATCAAAGTCCCAAAATTCCTCTAGCCTTCGTCTAGAGCCAAGCACACATTCCAAGACAGCACCAACACACACACGCAATCCCTGAAGTTTGCAACACACACTTATGGTTCTGCAACCATTCTAAATAAATGCAAACTAAAAACAACCGCTCCTTATTCCTAGATTGAAATCTAAGCACATGACTCACACCAGCACTCACTCTATTTATCCTGGACATAAAGTTCAAACAATATGATGTCCTTGTGACACTTATCTTCGCATTTTAGTGTTGTACCTCATAATAAAATTTTAAAAAGTCCTATTTTCACTCTGTTGTACTGTTTTTCTCCAATGTCGCAGTTCATTATTGAAGACATGAAGCAGCAACAGACTAACAAACACAGCAACCTGCACAGAGAAGACCAGCACATCACAGTTGAGGAGCTCTGGAGAAGCTGGAAGTCATCCGAAGGTATCCGGGTGTAACAGAGTGTGTGTGTGTGTTTGTGTCCAGTATCATGTTTTATCTGAAACTTGATCTTGTTTTGTTTTAGTACATAATTGGACTCAGGATGACGTGCTCCGCTGGCTGAAGGATTTTGTTGAATTGCCACAGTATGAGAGACATTTTAAAGAGTTTAAGGTCAATGGAAACACACTCCCCAGGTGAGAATAACTGAAGAGGGTGTACAGGCAATTCGCCACATAAACAAGTTGGTCTTCTAGAAACTATATTCTCAGATTAAGTTTTGAAGGAACCACATTCTCTCCCGTTTGTTTGATTCACAGTGATATCTGTAGTCAACATGTGTCGCCATTGTTCTTCTTCTTTTGCTACTGTTAACTCTCTTCTGGCAACCATACATATGTTATACAAGGCAGGGCTCGTCACCCTGGAAACCCTAAAAACACACATGTATGCATATTTTGGTAATCCCAAATAAGCCATTAAAATAAAAACCATAAAATCCATTTGTAGGATTGCAGCTAATGAGCCTTCATTCCTGAGTGGCCAGCTAAGAGTTCAGGACCAGAGAGACAAACAGAAGCTCACCATCAAAGCTCTGGATGTTGTTCTGTTCGGACCACCTACACGTAAGAAGAAATCCTCACTTTATTCCCTCAGACAGTAGCTTTGATGTCTTTGAAGCAGGAAAGATACATTCATGTCCTGTTGCCATTCTTTTCATTGCATAACTACTTTTGTATTACTCTTCCTCTTAACCTTTAATCTAAAATCAGCATTAAATGATGGATTAGGCAGCAAAGTTGCTAAATCGGTTTACATTTAAGGCCTTTCGTTTCAACTTACTTAATGTTCATATCGTTATTTCAAAACACAGCTGCACGTCTCTTAGCTGGTACTAGAAATTATGCCCACATCACATCAGTTTTAGCCAACTTACATTGGCTCCCTGTTGAATATCGCATCAATTTCCAAATTCTCTTGCTTACCTTTTAATTTACCTTAAATTTTAAACAATTTGGCTTCCAGCTATCTATGCGAACTCCTCCATTTGTCTATCCCTAATAAGGCACTTAGATCTTCCAATCATATGGTCCTGACGCAACCGAGGTCTCGTCTGAAGTCCAGAGGTGATCAGGCCTTTGCTGTCATAGCTGCCAGACTCTGGAATAACCTCCCTCCTTATATTCGTTCCTCAGAGTCCAATCTTTTAAATTGCGTCTTATTATTATCACTTATTATTTTAGTCTAGCTTTTGATTCAAATTAGTATGCTATTTTGTGGCTAGTTATGTGGGTTTTTTTTTTACCCATATTGTTCATATTGTATCCTGCCCTCCTTTTAACTGTTTCTTTTATTCTGTCTTATGCTATTGCCCTGACTGAGTGTGAAGCACTTTGCTCAACTTTGTTGTATTATTATGTGCTATAGAAATACATTTTGATGTGATTATTATTTAAAGCGATCTGATGTCCATTCAATCATAGGGCCCCCTCATAACTACATGAAAGACCTGCTGCTCATTGTGTCAGTTGTGATGGGAGTCGGCGGCTGCTGGTTTGCCCAGGCTCAGAACAAAGCCAGCAAAGTCCACATATCTAAAATGATGAAAGATTTAGAAAGTCTCCAGAGGGCTGAACAGAGCCTCATAGAACTACAAGAACAGTAAGAACTGTGATTTTTTTTTCTTCTCTCTGTCAGTCTCTTAGCTACTGTAAGTTACCGGATTGCCTTTGCTTTGTGTGATTGAACTAAACACGCTTTGATTTACTCAGACTGGAGCGAGCCCAGGAAGAAAAGCGTAATGTGGCAGAAGAAAAACAGAGCCTAGAGGAGAAGATGAGAGATGAGATCATGGGGGCACAGGAAGAGGCTCATCGTCTGCATGAGCTGAGGCAGGGAGCTGTTAGTGAGCTGAGCCGCCTCAGATATGCAGAGGAGGAGCTGGAACAGGTAGAAATGCTGCAGCGAGAGCAAGCAGCTTCACAAATGCAAGACACTCATCATCCTAGTTTGGCAGGCCTGAAGATTTTACCCTAAATTATTTTCTGCATACTGATGATTTTTAACATTTGCCACCTCTTCAGGTCCGTGGAGCGCTGAAGCAGGCCGAGAAGGACATGCAAGCCAGCTGGACTGTCACAGAGGTGCTTCAGCAGTGGCTGCAGCTGACACATGAGGTAGAGGTGCAGTACTACAATGTTAAAAAGCAGAGTGCAGAACTACAGCTTGCCACTGCCAAGGAGGAGGTAATGCATAGCAACATAAGAGTAATAATGCTTATAGTGACTATCCTTCATATGTAAGTGCCCAGACTCATATGTATGCTTTTTTCTAGGCAGAGAAGATTAAGAAGAAGAGAAACTCTGTGCTGGGGACACTCCACGTGGCCCACAGCTCCTCTCTAGACCAAGTAGACCACAAGATTTTGGAGGCCAAGTGAGTCACAAAGTTACCTCTGTGCAGGTATTTGTGTCTGTCAATATAAAGATTCAACAAATTACATCACAAAGCTTTTTGGATCTCTTAAAGGAATGCCTTGTCTGAAGTAACAGCCTGCCTGCGGGAGCGTCTTCATCGCTGGCAACATATTGAGCTCCTCTGTGGGTTTCCCATCATCAGGAATCCGGGTTTAGCAAAACTCACTGCTCAACTCTACTCCGACTCAATTGCCCTGGGGTTGCCTAGAGTGTGCCAGTCATCTTGTTCGTGCCACAGCTCCATTCATGGCTCCATAGAGGATCTTTTAGATGAGCCTACCTCTCCTATTTTACCTCAGATACCAGGTAAGAAACAGGAAGTAGGAGCTTTTAAGGCTTTAGTTGAGTCCTTGTTATTGTCAGTGTCACACAGCGTTAGATTTGATTGGAATCTGGAACGTGATATGGGATTTGCACACTTCCAATCAATGCATTCAGAAGTATGCAAATAGGCGTTGAATTTAATATTTCACATTAAGTTATTTGGTTTGTATTGCCTGCAAATATGAGTTTAATAACAACCTGATATATGACAAAACTATCCTCTGTCTCAAAAAATATTCCAATATTAAATGGATCCCAGTTACAGCACATTTAAAACTTTTTAGAATGAAAGATAAATAACTCTGAATTTGTGATCAGAATCAAAGTACAATAGTGTATGCAGTGTTCAACCTCAAAACTCTGAAATATTTCCAAAGTGAAGGATTTGTTAAGTAGCTGATAAGTTTGTGTTTTGCTAAGAATACACAAACTCATTGACTGAAAAAGAAAAACAAGCACTCATAACAGAGCTCAGATTCCTTCCTTAATAACGCTTCACAAATAACAGAAATACTAAAGAGGTAAAAGAAATTGTTAACTATATTGTTAATGGGTGTTATTAGTATACGTACACATACATGTATATACCATCCTTGTTCCTACATCACCAAACTTCTCTAACCGTACGTTTACTGCAGCTTCACAGACAAAGTTTAATTAGTAGTGTTCTGGAATGAAAATTAGGGTACATATTAATTTCTGCTCTTACAGGATCTGCTCTGCATAAATTATTCATTTTTAATAATTGTTTCTCACCACTTGCAGTTGCACCACTTAAACGGTCTCCTCGAGCACGGGTATCCATACGTCGGTCACGTCGCTCAGGGATCATTCCTCAACCATCAGCCACCATGATCTCCCCAGACCCTGACCTTCTTATCCCCATCCGAACTCCCTACTCTTCCTATGACGAGGAAGAGGAACATTTTCGAAAAACACTAAAAAAACAGTATGTCTGCCTTTTCCCAACTTTTAAAAATGCACTTGCTGTGCATTTTTAAACCACTTTCTTATCCTACCTTTATACCAGCCTTAGCTGTCCTTTGATTTTTTTTTCCTTTCCTGTTTTCTTTGCTTATGCTTCCTTTCCTTTCTCTCACTAATAGAGATTCCCAAGAAAGGTTCTCAGATTCAGAGTATATGACTTCTCCTCCTCTCAGCAAACTGTTCCCTAGTTCTGCTGTTGATATCTCCTCTCGAAAGCTCTATCACGATGACACTGAGCTGCTTGCTGAGAGCCCTGTTACAAAAACTTTAACTAAAGAAGTAGAGGCTCTTGTTGAATCGCCACCTCACAAAATGTCAGTGGAAGACCTTGAAACTTCTGTTGATATTGCCTGTAGCAAGATGGTTAGAGACAAAACCTTGGATACTTCGTTGGAAACATCTTCTTTAAAAATGTCTGCAGAAGAGTCATGTACAGATTCAACATCAAGGAAGATGTCACGCAACAGGACTGGACTTTCCACTGATGTTGCGCTTAAAAAGGGAATTTCAAATGAGACAGATGCAGAGTTTTCACCCAGGAAAGTAGAGAAGGACACAGTGGGGGATTTGACAGAAGTTCCCTCAAAGAATACATTCAGAGAAAGAAGTGATTTGGGAATAGATGTGAGGAAGATGATATGGGATGAAGTAGAAGCATCAGTGGATCTAGCAAAAAGGAAGATATCAAAAGATATGATGGGCTCTTCAACTGACACTTCCTCAGGAAAGATGACAAGGGATGATCCTGAGCATCTATTTGACTCCAGAAGGATTACTAGAGATTCAATGGGAGTTTCCCAAGACACAGGTTCCAGGAAACATGCGTTCCATAAAGGGGAAAATCAATTTGATTCCTCTGTGAGGGGATCAGCAAAAGACAAAATAGTTGAGACAACCAGAATACCAACAAGAAAAATATCTAGAGATGAGCTGGAGTATTATACAGATGTTGCTTCAATGAAGATACTGCCCAGAGAGAGACTCGAAGCACTTGTGGACACCTCATCCTCTACAGAGATGCAAGAGTTTTGTTTAGAGCCATCAACAAGTAAAGGTTTACTGAGAAATGAACTTGAAATGTCTGCTGGTTCTCTCAGAAGGAGAATGCCAAGAATGCCGAGAGAGGATGCTGAAAGCACCATAGACACTCCTACTGGAAAAATCTCTTGGGATAGAGTTGATATCCCAAGGGAAATGCCTAAACAATTCATCTTGAGGGAAGAGTTATCAGAATCAAGTTCATTGGCAGCTCACAATGTGCAGCCTGATCTCATGTTAACTTCCCAGGTGCCATGGAAGTCTTCATCAGACTTTTTTACTGTTGGGCCACTGAGCCAGCTCGTTTATGATGGAATCCTTGAAAAATCATGCAGCTCCGTGTCTTCAGCAACAAACCTCTCTGCTGGCAGGCTGCGAGCAGAGATGGAGCCACCTCTGCCAAAACCAAGGGTTGTCCTTCCTGCTCCCTCATTGCCTTCGGAGGCCGCAGATGACAAGAACAAGGAAAAGGAAAAGAGCAAGAAACCTTTAAAGCTCAAAAATCTCTTTAAAAAGAAAAATGAGTCGAGTCCAGAGAAGCTTTAAGGTGCTCTTCGGAAACTCTGGCAATCAGCTGATTTTTTTCTTTCTTTCTTTTGAACATTTTATAGAAACTGAGTTTCGAATTGTCTTTGATGACATTCAGTAGTCAAGGTTTTACAAACCTTTTAGCTCAAGGGGTTCAACTATAGTGTTGCATTAGTTGTTAAGGAACTGGAGTCATTATATTATTATACACGCTATCCCAATTTTAGGGGTAATCAAAAATAGTTAAGGTTAAAGTTAAGATTAAGTTAAGGGCTGTTTTTAATCCTTGGATGAAAGTCCTTTTTAGTTAATGAAATGTAAAACACATGGATTTCACCAAATTTTACATTTAATCTTTTGAGATGCCCTGCCAAGCATTTACTGCAACCACCTTAGGTTTCTTTATATGTTTTCTGAAGCTGTATATCGGACATGTATCCAGTTAATCTTGACCATCTTGTTTATAGAATAGCGGTTATATCTTAAAAGAAGATTCAAAGCCAACCCCATCTTCTTTTATCTAAACTCCTACAGAGTCAAAATGACAAAAAGCAAACTAACTAGTAATTGGTTTTACTTTCTATACTAAGTCTTATAGACACATGGTTGATATAGTAGTTTAGTTTTTTTTTTATAGTTATGTGTGGTTGAAGGATTAAAAGTTTTAACAGATGCTTCTTTCCAGTATGACAGTGGCAATTCTTAAATTCATTTTAAAGATTAGAAACTCAATCAAAACTGTTTAATACAGTGCTAAAGTTAACACATTCTTGTGCAAAAGAAACTGAGTTAAACTTTGTGATGTCCGAATTAAATTTACCTTCCTAAACTTATCCAAATTGACTAGTTAGAAATTTTTGGGAAATTTTCAGTACAGCTGCATAATGTACATATATATCAACATTAAAGGACAATTTAAAGGAACTGGAATTGAATTTTGTGTAGGGTTTAGGGTTAAACTCCATGCTTTTAAATGAACATTAAAATAGAGACAGTTTTTATTTACCTATTTAATTTTTTTTTTAAATTTTAATTACCACAGCAATTGTTAGAGTCCTTAAACACGTTTGACGGCTGAATAGCTCTAAAAATATGCAGCACAATAAAGAATCATTTATTATACAACAAATATTTGTAATAGTTTCATACTATATTTTTTCATAGATGGTTCAGTATTATTTTCTTTAGCCCCTTTGCAATTAAATGGCATTTACAGTCGCCATCAGCACTTTTGATGTGTGGTTAAACAACGACCTTCAGATAGATTTAAACAAAGTAGACAAAATGATTCTCTGATGCACTGTCGCAAATGAAACTGCTGACTGTTTGCACTGCTAATATGGAGGATTTTTGACTACTTCTGTGTTAGGCAGAAAAAATTAAGTAAATAAGTGAGTAGCAAGATTTGAAATGGATCAGGATTCACAAAGTAAATAATCATAGTTTTTATTCTTTAAGAATTCTCCTTATGTTTTATGTTTGTTAGTTTTGCTTTGATAACTTACAAGCATAGAGATTAGTTTATTTTTTGTAAAACAACAAATGTAAAAAAAAATTATTATAACTGTCTTAGTTTCTGAAATTAATGTATTAAGATATTTAATTTCTAAATTGTTTATGTTATTGAATGATTAAAGCTCAATTGTTTTCAGGCATTAAATCGTTTTCTTGTTTTAACTTAGTTTTTTTATTTAAGCGCTTCAAATATGAAGATTCTTCTTCAATAATTAAGTATTTTTATACCAGTTGTAATCAGAGGTGCAGTGCTGCTGAGTGCAAAGGAACAACACTGCACCACTATTTTTCCAAATGAGGAAATAAAATATTCACAGTTGGATTAATTGGTTGAAATTCGGTCTAATTCTTGCAAGAAAGCCATTAATAGCAAAATGAGTGGTCACAGCTGTCATCATGATATTTAGAGCCAGATTTGGCAATGGTGTGCAACAGTACAAAACCCTCTTTTCGCATCAGAAAGCTACCTGATGATGCATTCACAAAAATGCAAACAGTACACTAATTAACATATGCCATGAGCAGTCCAAAGTACTGGCTCAAAGTGAGCAGACCTGACGAAGGGGGTCAGTGATGTCATAAGAAAAATAATAATCTATAAGTTGAGGTTTTACACATGTGTTTCTCTCTGAAAACTGTGGAAATGAAAATAAATAACAGGAGGCTGAATGAGAAACAATATGTTTATGATATAAGAGATAACTCTTCTGAAATTTCTAGGGACTGTGTTAGGTCCTGATGACTAAGATTCAGGTAGAATGTATCAAGAGGGGTGCATTATTATTATCATGTGAGCAACAGCTGACCTGTTCATGTATAGAAGAACAACAAAAATGTATTTACCACCAGAACCCGAGGGACAAATAACTCAGATTGATGCTACAACAAAGAGAACTGCACTTTTGCTTGTAAGTTGTTTCAGTGTCAAGTACCATGAGTGTAAAATGTTTTCCCCTGTGTTAGAAAAGAAAAACTGATTAACTGTGTCATGAATAAATGGGCTGTTATTTACTGATTTATATGAAATTGATGATAACTCAGGTTACAAAATTGGTAAAATTTAAAAATGCTGTCCATTGTGTTAAAATAAAATCCTGAAAATAACTACAGCATCTTAAATGTGTCATTTGTGAAAAAAAAGACTTCCAAATTGCAGAATATTGGTTATCCCCACTTGCATAATAAGCAGACCTGCCTGTGAACTGCACTTCCTTGATGTCAAGAAGAAAATCACAGATATGAACTTTTTGGAAGCAGACAATGACCTCCTAATTTTTATTTTTAGTGTTTAGTTTTTTGAAAACTAAGTGTTTCGGAATAGCCAACAAGAATTCTGTCTCCTGAATATTTTATTTAATTAAAATTCAACAGAATAATGTAAAGATCCTCAAGTTCCGTTTTGTGGTATCAAAGTATATCATGGTCAGGACACATCATGATTATAAAATGTTTAAACCTCTTAAAACCATTATTAAAAAGCTGTAATCTCTGGTTCCATGGAGAGCACTACATAAAAACAGTCAATTCTGTAACTGAAGTAACTGCAATGGCTCAAAAACACTACACTAAAATCACAGTCAGTGTAAAGATTGTCACTGCAGCAGCCATACTCCTCTTGCATTTGAGAGGAACCTACATACACAGTTACACGGAAACTCATTAATGATTTCCCTACAGTGCATTACAGATTCATTAAAATGAAGAATATATATCACGCAGTCATGATGCAAACTTCCAGCAATCATTTGAGGACAAGAAAACAATATAATTTAGCTTTGACTGTTGAGAGAAGTGTTTGTTAAGAAGTTTTTAGTTCATTACCTGTCATCTCCAATAGATGTCAGGATTCTCTAGGTCAGCATGTGATGCTTCTGCATGATGTTGAGGGATCAGAAACCCTCCCTCTCCCACTCCCCTCTTCCTTTTACTCAGTAAAACCTTCCAAACTTACTGCTCTTAATATTGTCTAATTCTAGCTTGTTTCATTAGATTAAGATTAATTTGACATGCTGCATTGTTCTTTCTGTCCACAAACTCTTACTCAAAGAGTAAACAGGTCAGATACTAAACTCACAAAAACAAAGTCATAAAAAACAGCAACTAAAAGAAGATACAAATGAAATATTAATAGTAGCAGACTGTATGGCATTTAGTTTTTACCTTTGTTAGGTGTAAGAGAGTGCATCTGTTAATATTTAATGACTGTTTTATTTTTTGGCATGGATGAGATCAGTGTCAAAGGAGAATATAGACCACACATGCATTATTTAGTTAGTAATTGACTATCATATATTGCATTAAAATAGCACAGACTTTCCTGAAGCTATTGTGCTAATTTTCCATGACTTTTAGTGTTAGTGTTATGTTCTGCAGGGTCAGGACCTACCTGCTCGCTCACCATAAAATATACACACTACTCACAGAAAAAGCTTAAGCTTTCCAGGTGGTGCAAAGCAGGAACCTTGTGCTGTGATATGATTATCATATTTCCTGTCCACCTGTAAAACTTTGTTGTTTTTTTTTAAAATATTGTTTTCAGAAATCTTTGTAAAGTATATTGCTTATTCAATATGCAAAAATTTATATATACACCACGTTCCAAATTATTATACAAATTGTGTTGAAGTGTCATAAAGATTAAATAAGTTGTTTTTCAATTAAGCCCATGGATGGAATAGTGTCTCAGGACTCTTTGCATCACTGAAATCAATCTCGGACACCTATGATCATTAGTTTGCCAGGTGAGCCCAATTAAAGGAAAAACTACTAAAGAAGGATGTTCCACATTATTAAGCAGACCACCATTTTCAAGCAATATAGGAAAGAAACATGATCTCTCTGCTGCTGAAAAGCGCGAAATAGTTGAATGCCTTGGACACGTAATGAAAAGCTTAGATATTTCACGAAAATTTAAGCGTGATCACCGTAATGTTAAGAGATTTGTGGCTGAGTCAGAGCACAGATGGGCTTGTGCAGATAAAGGCACAATGATGAAGGTTTCTGCCAGACAAATACATCAGATTAAGAGAGCAGCTGCTAAAAGGCCATAACAAAGCAGCAAACACATATTTGAAGCTGCTGGTGCCTCTGGAGCCCTGCGAACATCAAGGTGTACAATCCTCCAGAGACTTGCAGTTGTGCATAAACCTTCTATTCGGCCACCCCTAACCAATGCTCACAAGCAGAAATGGCTGCAGTGGGCCCAGAACTCCATGAAGACTAATTTTCAAACAGTCTTGTTCACTGATGAGTGCAGTGCAAGCCTGGATGGTCCAGATGGACATGTTTTGAACTGGAATCACAGGGAGAGAGCTGGTCGGCCCCTTTAGGGTCCCTGAAGGTGTGAAAATGACCTCTGCAAAGTATGTGGAGTTTCTGACTGACCACTTTCTTCCATGGTAGAAACAGAAGAACTGTGCCTCTGCAACAAAACCATCTTCGTGCAAGTCAATGCACCATCTCATGCTATAAGGAATACCTCTGCATCATTGGCTGGTAAAAGGAGAGGAACTTATGGTGTGGTCCCCATTCTTCCCTGACTTCAATCCTATTGGGAACCTTTGGAACATCCTCAAGCAAAGAAATATGAGGGTGGGAAGCAGTTCACATCCAAACAGCAGCTCTGGGAGGCTATTCTGACATCCTGCAAAGACATTCAAGTAGACATTTTCCCAAAACGTACAAGTTCCATGGATGCAAGAATTGTAAAACTGCTATCAAATAAGGGGTCCTATGTTAATATGTAACTTGACCTGTTACGATGTTTTTGATTAAATAGCTTTTGATTTCAGTGAAATTGATCTACTAATGCTGCAAATTCAACAAATGACCATTTTCAATTCTCTACAACCTATTAAATCTTTTGAAACTCTGTGTGCGTAATTATTTGGAACAGTGGATTTTAAGTTTTTTATTTTTGAAAAACATACTGTTTTCATTGGGAGTTTTGTTCAGTAACATTTGAAATATACTCTATTGGTCGATGACTCGAAAATTATGCCAACTGTCATTTGAATTGACTATTTAAGAAAAACAGAGAAAAATATAATTTGCATAATAATTTGGAACGCGGTGTATATATATTTTTAATTAAGAAGTAGCCAAGAACATATATGACTGCAGGAATGATGACAAAAACACAGTGACAGAGTTACCAAAAATGAGAGATTGAAAAAAAACAACGTGTACTTTTGATTGTAAACCTTACAAATATAACTTAAAGACAAAGCTAGTTATTTATTTCTTCTTTGTCATCTGAATGATGTGTTTGTGCGTCCTGAGACAGGAACACAACTGTTGTTAAACACAGATCTTCATCCTGAAAAACAATATAACATTTGTAATTAGTTAGTTAGTTTAGTTTTGCAATGCTAGTTTTCCATTTAACAAGCGTGTTAATATTAACGACCTGTGAATGTGACGCATAAGGTACAAAAGCACAAATCAAAATTATGAAGGGAACCTTGGTTACCATATTTTGCCTTGATTGTCGTTTGATACTCAATCTTTTCTGATGATGATGCGATTTCTTTTCTGCACAAATGAACACAACAGCAGTGTAATATTAAACAGATTAAAAGCATCTATCTATTGGGTTTGTGGAAAAAAAATAACAAGTATGACTCTGCAAAATGACTGAATAAAACATTTCAAAAAAAAAAAAAAAGCTATTATGCACAAAAATAGGAAAGATAGTAAGTATGTACCTGCTTTCTGACAAGTGTGATATACCAGAATAAAGGAGAATGAGGTGAGAATGGTAAAGGCTGGAGTGAACATCATCATCCATGACAGACGGGTTACACCAACATCCATGACACGCTGTTCTTGCACGATTAATGGTTTTCCTATAGTGACTAAAACATACATATTGTCACCTTAGGCCCAACAAACAAACAAAAAAGTAATATTGCATAATAACATTGAAACATGGTAATTTTGTAATAGTTTAAATCTTGCATATTTTCGATAAATGACAGACTTTGCTTTCTTTTCAACAGCAAATCTTTTCCTATTTAATCTTAATACATACAAATGCAACCCACTGCATTTATTAAAAGAAAAAACTTACCTAAGCACCATAAGGAAACTTTTGTTGTGATTAGGTGCTATATAAATAAAACTGAATTGCATTGAATTCAATTACCTAATTTGAGTCTTGTTGTGGAATTTCCATATGTGTAAACAAATCTGCAGTCTTTATTTTCCCCATGCTGTTCTTCTGTTCCACAGTAGTAGAGACCTTCATCAGAATCAGTGATATTTAAAATCACAAGGTCTCGGGAATTAGAGGACTCATTCTTCACAAAGTGCAAATGAGACAAAGGTTCCAAAGGAAACCAAGACGCAGATTTGTACCGTAAAACAACAGTGTTATCATGAGAACACTTCCTGTACCATATTATATGTACTCCAATGGTCATTTTGCAGTCGCAATACAGAGTGATGTTGTCTCCAGGTTGGGCTGTCACTTCCAGTACTGATACAGAAATTCCATTTTGACTGCAGGAAACAACTCCTACAAAAAAATAGAATTATATGTAAATGTGACAAACAGAGATGGGCAGTAACGCGTTACATGTAACGCGTTACTGTAATCTGATTACTTTTTTCGAGTAACGCGTAAAGTAAGGGATTACTATTGCAAAAACGGTAATTAGATTACTGTTACTTTCCCGTAGGAACGCTGCGTTACTGCGTTACTAAAACCGTGATTTTTTGCAAGAATGTCTCACGACAGTGACATAAAGCGAGTGCGCCATTAGTGACAACAGCTGTGTGCAGATCAACAATGGATCACATATCGATTGTGGGAGAGAGTATGAGCGTGCAGCGTGGAAGTACTGACCTTACTTTGAGTTTGATTCCATAAAAAGTGACAAAAACATTAGCGTCCATCGTGCGTGGGAAGAAAACTTCTTTTTACAGCGAAAAAAAACCCTAAACTTCCAAGCAAGCACCGAGAGCGCACCGACGTAATGGGAAACTCACAGAGACACTGCCGTATCCTTCCACTGACCGCTGCACACCTGCACCAGGGTAAACCTCCGCCTACCGCAGTCCTGCTTTACAGGTGAAAATAGAGCAACAGGACCGCTGAGTCT